AATTAATTTCCACATTACTCTTTCATTAAATTAATGCTTTGTATTGGAAAATGGTTTTATGTGAACTTTGCATAAAATTCCACTCTGCTTTGCAGTAATGAGTGTAATTTCTGTTGTTCGCTTTCTCAGTGAGGAAAATCCTTTTATATCTCTGTATATTTAGAATTGGTTCTGTCTAGTACTGTTTAATATGCCTACAATCCTACCTTACATATGCTTACAGTCTTATGCATGTTTGTTTCTGTTAACATCACTTTTAGTTCAGTGTATCCCTTTGATAAGCTTCTGACTATTTAATCTCCCTCCGTTTCTTTTTCCTTAAAATTTTTAATATGTGGGGGAAATGTTACTGTAGGTAAATCTGTATTAGTTCTATATTCAGGAAAATAAAAAATGAACATAGAGGTAACTTTCAATTAGATTTTAAATTCCATTTAAATTCATGTGATAAGTTACAGTTTGTACTTTATTTTGGTTTTTGTCAAGTAAATCTGACAGCATTTGAATTCATTTAGCTTGGACTGTGCTGGGATTTCTGAATCTTTTTGATTTGTTTGCTTGTTTATTTGAATGCATGGTAGTGCTTGAAATACAGCTCTCATTGTAGCTACAGTGTTTGAAATCTGTCATAGAGAAGGTCCAAAGTGAGAGGTCATTCCAATCTAAATGAAGAATCAGCTGCATTGTCTCTGGCAGAGGCTTCATGTGGTCAGTTCTCAAAAAAGTCCAGAGATGGAAGAGGCTGCAGGACCACCCCGGGTTTTGTTTTCAACTACTGAAGTGCAGTTACTTAAAGAAAGTTTCCCTGGTGCCTTATCTAAACATCACTGTAATTGAAGTAGCTGACTCTTGTCTTACAACAGTGGACATGGATCTACTCTCTTTTAAGTCTGTAGGGGTTGGGAAAACCATTAGATGATGAGGATGATAAGGAGTCCTTAGATAAGATATAGCTGGAGTTAATTTTGACCTGGTTATGTATAGTGCAGGTATATTTTAACAGTGGCTGTGTAACAGGATCTATCTCAGAGTGAAATATTGGTAGAAAAGCTGCTCTGCTCTGAATGTTCTCCAGTAGGTTCACAACTCTAGGGAATTCCAGTGTTTTAAATGAGGTCAAGTACCTCACCTAGGGCCTTACCACCACGGCAAAAAAAGATTTCCTGTATCTTTCAGACAGTACTGTGAATGTTGTGCTGGGTAGTACTTGCCTATTTTCCTAACAAATACCCAGTTTCTGATACATAATTGAATTGTGGTGATCAAAAATTTCCCAATACCTTTTTATGGTAATGGGAAATTAGCTTGCTATTCCCCACCCTGTGTTTTTCAGTTTACAGGTTCCATGTACAAAAATGTATTTACGTTTTTAACGCATTGCTTCTGCCATCTCTAAATTTGTCAGTGCAATTTTGAATTCCAGGCTTGCACGGCATTTGTAGATCCTTATGGGTTATTTGCTTTGTGAGTTCAGTAAATGTAGTTTTCATTTTTCATCCAAGTCACTAATTAAGAGGTGGAATGATGCCCAAAACAGAGGCCTGCAAAGTCTCAGCTAATACATTCACCCACTGTTGATCATAGACTCTTAGCTGTTTTTAATCAGCTTCTCTCTGTATTCAGCATTAGTTTTAGTTGTCCTTGGTTCCTTAGTTCACCTGTGAAATGTGGAAGTGGTAAAAGCCTTATTAAGACATCTATTATGCAATCGGAGAAGGAAATTTATTTTATATAGGGTATTCCAGCTGAATTGGCTGAATTGGTATCACTTCATCATCTTCTGATGTTTGCAGTCTATTTCTTCCAGTATTATTAAAAAAAAAAAAAAGGAAATTTAGGTTTTTGAGGAATTACAAGCCACTACTTTTCTTCCTCTCTGAAACCAACTAACCCCACTCTTTTCTGGTCTCTGCTCTGAACCGTGAGTTCTTCAAGGGCAGTGGCTAAGGTTTCTGAAATGGTAAAATGGCAAGAGCTAGTCAGTCAGAGTTTGGTATTGAGAATAGATAACTTCTCCAAATACTCTTGAATCCATCCTTCTCCTACCTCCTTTCCTTATGTTGCTGGTGTAAAAGGTATTAATAACCTAGTATGGAAGTGTGAGGAGTTTGAATTTTTACTTTCTGAGTTTACAGAAGGCTGCAATGAAAATTATCAAGACTACTGTAAACTGCAGTGTTTCAGAGTCTTAGTATCATTCTCACCTTTTACTGAAAATAATCTAAGCAGTGATTTGTAGGGACTGTTTGCTACCTACAGGCTTTATATTTAGGCTGTAGGAGTTGAAGTGTGATTGATTTTCAATGTAGCTTAGGAACCTGAGTGACTTAGGTAATAGAATCTGATTCAGCTGTAACATTAGTCACAAGAACATAAATGTGGCTAATTTACAAATATTTTATTAGCAAGAAGTGCAGGTTTTCAGGTTTTCTCTCCATCAGGTGTTTTAAACAAGCCAAAAAGGAACATCCAAAAGTATATAAACTCTAAGTGGATGGTTAAGATGACAAATTAAGGCTTATGCAGAGCTGATTTAGATGAATATCAAAAATTTTTACCTGGAGGAAGAATTGGCAGCTTTTAGAAGAAATACTAAAAACTCTATTTAGCTGTCAGAATGAAATGCAATGCTACATGACTTGACAAAAAGTCTCTTTTTGTGTCTTTGAATTGAAGGGGGGGGCTGGTGGTTTGTGATTTTTGTGGGGAACTCCACCATTCCTGTTGGCCATGTAATTGCAGTTTTGGGAATGGAAACTTTTCACAAATTATAAATCAGGTAAAGGTTAAATTTTCAGAAAGCTTCTTGTGATAAAAAGGGTTTTCTTTACATTTGTATGATTTTTGTACTGAAAACAGTGGCTTACGTGAAAGAAACAAGATTAGACTTCAGGTATTGAATTCACTACTCCCATTTCTAATATCATCAAAAAGGTCCCCAGCTGTCACTGCACATTGGTTTGACAGCTCTGAGCTCAAAGAAAGCCAGGGGTCTGCACTATTTTTGAAGTGAAATTGAGATAAATGTGCAGTACATGTATAGCTGTTAGACTAATTCTTCTAATTATTGGTGTGGGTCTTCCCAGAAGGTAACTTTATCCCCAGGAGCCTGAGAGTGCCCTGGGGAATTGCTGGGGGATGCTCCTTTGGCCTCACTGTGCCTGTTCTCATTGCCTGCCACAGTCTCTCCCCACTGGCATCACTGGGCTCAGCATAGGAAATTGTTGGTGCCCATCCCCTTTAATGTTCTATTTTCATTCTAAACAATCATGCATGAAAAATAGACATGATGGATTTTTTGACATGTGGAGATAACACATTTTTCCTCCCTTCATAATCATTTGAAGTCTGCACTCTATCCTGTGTGTGGGAAAGGAGGAGAATCAAGTGCTGAATGTAATGGATGCTGGGCAGGAACTGAAGAGGCATTCAGCACTTGTGGTTTAAAGTGTAGCCTTTTATAAAAAGTCCTCTCTTAATTTACTCCATTTTTGTTACTCATTAATCTCTGTGGTCTACATGATGATGGGACACTTCAGAACTTATAAAACCCATTTAGAAAAAGCTGCTGCTGGTAAAACTGTAGAATATATGAGAGCTGGAAGGAGCTATGGATTGAATTTAGTAATTACATTTCACTTGACTATGTACAATCATATTTATATATGTAAAATCATTTATAAAATATATACCATGGTACATGATGTATATACATATTGCATGAAATGTAAAGCACTACACAGAAGGCATATGGATGATCTATATGATGCTGTGTACTCTACATATATTTTATTTAGTGGCAGATGGGTTTCTAACTAATTTTTTTGCTGTTATTATTATATAGGTTTTGTGTATGTTGGTAATACACAATAAATAAGGCAGCTTTTTCTTGGATGAAAAAAATCCAATAGAAAGCTGCTCCATCAATATTTGCAGTAATATTTCTACCCCATTTTCCCTTCAATAGCCATCAACTCTGCTGTTGCCATGAAGCTAATGTGGGGTGACTCATTTAGCAGCATATTATTGCATCATTGCAACATGATGTAAGGCACATCAGGCTTTATTAAATTAGCCTGAATTTTGCAGTATCTCAGTAACATTTTATGCACATTAGCACCACACTTAGTGCTCCTTATGGGGATATACTTCAAGTAAACATATTAAGACATGATTTCAGACAACTTTTCAGAATTTACCAATTTCTCCTTTCTTCACAATTTAACATGGAACTTTAAAGGTTTGCATCTTGTTGCCTGCAAATTTAGCTATTTGTTAAAGAATAAAATGGCAGCGTTTGTTAGCTGTTACATCCTTAACGGACTAAAAAGTTGCTTTATTTTTGTGTAAAAAAATTTGTTTCTGAACAAACACTATAAGAACTTTTGAAATAAACCCAAAAAATGCCTTTAGCATCAATTTCTTGGGCAATTTAACAGATGATCACTTCAGCAAAAGAAATGACTGCAAGTGTATGTTACTTTGTCTTTGCATAGTCAGTAATTTGCCTCTTTAAAATTTAAAGAGACTTTAAAGCAGCTTGAACAGAATTCAAACCTAAAGAGCAATCCTGCAATGTTGGGGCAAGTAGTTATCTCAGAGCTCATTCTCTAATAGCTGAGGAAGTGTAATAAGGGTATAACTCCAGAAATTTGAGCTGTCTAGGGAGAACATAAAAGCTCATTTGTATTGTGCATAAGCAAAAATGGCAACTTTTTTGTATTACTGGTTGGGTGGTGAGGATCAAGCAAGCAAAAGTTAAAACAAGAGTATGGATACCAGAAAATAGCACCAACTTAAATTTATCTTTAATATGTTCCTAAACATATTAACTAATATTAATAAATTATATCTAACAATAAATTAACACATTATGATTAAAATTTATTTTTGCTAAAATGAATATTAATTTATATGTAAAATTATGTGAATCATTATTTATATTATAATTTTAATTTATGCAGTTATATAAATTCTATAACTGTAAGATGTGTATTTGGTGTAATGGAGATGATTGATTTTAATACTTTTAATAAAGCATCAGGAAACATTAAGCAGCTATAAGATTAAGCACACAGACAAAAATATGAATGTTAGGTTACAAGGATGTGCAAAATGTATGTGGGAAGCAGAAATGAGATTTACTGACAAAAATGGAAAAGTAGAGAAGAATATGAAAAATATAATTGGAAATACAAGTTTGGTGAGGACAAAAAACTCAGAAGGGACAACAGTGAAAGAAATAAGTGATTGTGAATAGTGGGGTAGAGCAGGATTTTAGTGGCATTTGACAGCTGGGATGTTGCTTAAAATGTACGAGTTAGACTAGAAAAAGGGCTTTGTAGCACAGGGCATTCTCCCAGGTGCTGGTTGTTGTTCAGATGGATGCAAAGGCACACAGCTAAATCCTCCTCATGCTGCAGGAGCAGTGTGGCAGCCTGGCACTGCAGTTGCTCCTAGGAGGCTTTGCCAGGGTTTCTGCCAGCCAGTGTCCATGAAACAACCAGAAAGCTTTTCCTCCTCACTGCTGGTGTGTGGCTGAGGATGCTTTAGATGGCTTTTGCCAGTGAGGCAGAAAATTACATCATTTTCTGCACCTTTCTGATGAGTGGGGCTTTACAAAGGCTACAAGCAGTGGTACCAGTTGCTTTTCTTCCTTCTCACATAGTTTTAGAAGCAGAACAGAGAATGTGATGTCTCCTTAAATCCAAGTAATACTGAGTTATGGAAGTATAAAAAAATTTAAGGCTTGTACATGTGTGGGGATTTTAATACCAATATAACTTTAAAGCTGAAAAACTGGTTTTATTTTGTAAATTCTCTCTTTTTAATCTCCCCTTCTCTGACACTTTTGATATCAGGTGTCTCCCTGAAGCAGATTTTTACAGCTGAGCTATCAATCTCTAAGAAATGCAGCTGCTGAAGGAAGGGCTGACACAATGTTAACTGAAGCAGTGACTCTGGATTCTGCCAGCTGATACCATCCTGAAAGATTGGGATGGGGAGAGGGATATATAGTTTAAGGGCAGATGGAATGCCTGAACTTTAGTTTATTTTGCTTTATTTTACTTCTCAAGCAATATTAACTTTCTTTTCATCATGATTTATTAGAAGTGAATTACTTATTGTGCTATTGGGAAAATATCTCCTGTCACTCAGTAGATAAGGAGTCTGCAAAGCCTTTTTAGAAAGTAAAAATGTATGGGGCACAGGCTAGATTTCTTTTTCCAGCGCTGGAGGTGACCACCTGAAGTTAATCAGGGAAGACATTCCCCCTGGAATGAAGTGGGTAGCAGGTGTTAGGAATTTGTTATAGTTGGAGGAGGGATGCTATTTATAAAGGGGGAGCAGCTCTGCAAGGAATAATGTTCAATGCCTTTACCAGGCAAACAGTTTCTTGTCTTTGCCCTTCTCTTTCTCACACTATTTAGGCTTGGCAAATTTCCTTGCCACCTTTATTTTTTTGTTTATTTTTGATTGTATTTAAGGTTATGGGTGTTCTGTAAATTAATATGCATATTGCTACATAAGGAAGGAAAAATATGCTAGAGCACAGAGTGCAGGTAAAACTTCTTTGATGAATTACTATTTGTGTCCAGCTATTCTGACTGCCTCAGAGTTGGGTGCTTCTCAATTACAAATTTATGGTATTAGTGGAGGATGGGGAAAATATTAGCTCAGCTCTGTACTCCCAGCCATGCCTGCTTATCTGAATGAGCTGGATTGCCCTTTGGAAGTGTGCATTCCTTTTGTCTGTAATTACTCTAGTGTGTTACCTTCCTTTTTGAATTCATAGGTAGAGAAAGTCCCTTCCCAGACTTCACAAATGCACAAATCGCTGGTGTCAGGAAGAACAGAGGCCCTGAGCAGGACAGGGGAGGGGGAGTTGGTGCTGTGGGCAGCCTGTTCTGAGCTCAGCTTCCTGGGCTGGCTGGGACAGCACAGCCGGGCTCAGGCACTGCTGCCATTTACATTCCTCCTCCGTGCAACTAAACCATCCAACTTGTTTTGGTTTCAGCTGGGTTCTGGAGTGCTTTTCCAGACACTGGTGCTCCTCTGGCACAGGTTTCTGAAGAGCAGGGAGAGAAGGATAACATTTATTCGGGAGAGGGGATTGTAGCCTAGGATATCTCCTGGCCATTTCCTAGCACCCTAGTATTGAACTGAGCTCTCCCTTGATCATATGTGAAAACATTTGGGTTCTCCATGTTAAGTGCTAACAATTAACTGGTTGCTAATTAACATACCCTCATCGTGTTAATAATTTTCTGACTTGGTTCTTAGAGCAAGATTTTTCTCTTGGTTGTGTGGGAGAGGAGATGTACAGCTTCCATACTATATACATGAAATGATCTACTAATGGTCTGAAATATTTTAAAATAATTTTGCTGAAAATGCAGAGAATAGTTTGAGAACTAAGGAACAGATGCAAATATAGTTTGAATTTTATAATATCTTTTATAGTCTAACTTCTGTAAATAAGGTTCAGCATAAAATCCTTATTATAATATTGACTCCTCATGCTAGTATCTTGTAATCATAAAGGAAGGCAAGGAGGGTGGTACCATAAAAATTAAAAACTATGTGAATAACCACTCAGCAACTTCTCTTGTAAAATTTTAGAATTTTCCAGAAAGAGGCTTTTGTATAATCACAGAAAGGAAGCTGTTCAAATTACTGTTTTCATAGTGTAGCAAAAAGATTCAAAGGCAAAGGGAGGGGTGCCTGACCTGTAATCACAATGCTTAGTAATGCCTTCCTAGAATTCAGTCAGCAAGGCAAAAATCCCTTGCCCGGGGGGATGAAGGAAGACAAGCTGAGGCAGCATAACCTCGGGGATTGGACACAACATCAGCAGGGTGCTGCTTTAGAGGCATAAAACTGAATTTGTAGCCTTGCCAATATGCAGCATCAGTGCAGGGGAGACAATATTACAAAAGAGAAGGAAGGGACTCTTCAAAATATTTGTGTTAATCGGGGTCTTTAAAGACATTTAGATGCAAAAAGAATACAAAATTATTTCTTCCCTTTGCATTTAATCTTTGCTCTCCTCTCTGCTTAAAAAACCCCATATATGTAATTCTGAATAAACTCCTTCTCTCTCCTCTGTCCCTGTGCTCAGTCCCAATATATTTACACATGAACAGAATATGCCACAGTAGCAGCCTCTGCTTAGGTGCACACATGAATAAGCAGCTCTTGGTGATCTGGAAAAGCTTTGGCATAAGAAGAGAATATATTGATAAGCTGATCTTCATTGGAGTTACCATTAATTGGAAAGACAGTAAAGCTAAATGTAATTTTGTTTATGATGTTGCATCACTTCAGTATTTAGTACCCTAGGTAGCTGGTTTTAAATCCAGTGAGCAAGATTAGCCTGATTACACTGGCAGGATGCAGTTGATGGATGACTGTCATTATCTTCTCAAACCTGCATGATACTTTAGGTATAGGAGATGATAATTAAATTTTCAAGAGACTACACTGAGATTATAAGACCTAAGTATTTTTTTTTAAATGAGGAATATGTTTGCAATTATCAACATGTTGTTAGAGGATCCTCTCCTGAGATGTTTTATTGGCAACCCCTGATTTCCTTTAAATTGATCAAGAAAAAAAAGCTCAAGTTATCATATAACACTTTAGATGTTGTTTTGGTTTTCTAATTCTGATATTTTCCTCCTCCTGAAACAGACCAAAAATGTATCTGATCAAATCTATTGGTAATGGCTTGAAGATGTACAGGTTAGCACAATATATTTAATGAAATGTTGTTTGAGACAAAACACTAGAGAGGATCATAATTAATGCCTCATTTTCTGCCAGTTGCTATTGATTACTCATTCAGAGTCCCTTTGTTCTCAAAATGGTAACACTGTATTTCACATTACTATTTGATGATATTCTCAGGATGAGATTCTTTAACAACATGCTGATAATTGCAAACATATCTCTAAAATTTAAATTTAAAATGAATTTACATCATATGTCAGTGTTTTTTTCCAAATTCAGCTCCTATTTTGGAGTGCATATTCATTACAGTTTCCAAAGACTGGAGACTTGCATAAAGTGAAATTCAACCCTTTATATCTTAGTTATATTTTTGGCTTGAACTGCATGACGTGGAACTCAAGTGAATGGTCTTTTTGCAGCCCTAACCTCTCTACTGGACTAGGATTTCAGAGCAATTATTGGTTCATGTTTTAGTGTTGTGCTGGCTTTTCCTTTGGAAACACCATAACAAAATATACAGCTTTGCTGGGGGATTTTGCAAGTTTACCAGAGTTTGACTTTTCTGTTTTGTTATGTTCTTTAGAGCCAGCTTATGCAAATCGTCAGGTTTATCTATAAGGCAAGACATGCAATACTGAGCCACGTTCTATCCATGCTGTAAGTCATCCAAATAGCTCACTGAGTAAAAAGGACATGCACATGAAACTTGTGCTCTACCCAGGGCAACATTTCAAGTTTACAGTAAGGCAAGGAATGCACTTGCCATCTGCTCTGTGTAATTCTGAGGAATAGAGAGATGCCAAGTGAGTTTGTCAGCGACTGTGGCGGGATAATGGAGGGATTTGATTGAGATGAATGGTGTTGCATTACATTATTTTGTAAAAGTAAAGTACTCAAGCTCACAATTTTTAACTAAAAACTCAAGTACTTTTTTTTTGTTTTTTACCTCTAGACAGTTTTGCTGCTTTAAATAGGTACAGCCTGACTGCTAGGATTGAAAGCATAAATTTTATGAAAAGGAAGCTAATGCAAAAAAAAATAGGAAAAATAAAATCGAGTTGAATCTAGTTGACTGTTGGGGAGGTTTTCAAGATCTAAGTTTGCAGTTGGTGAGTTGCAGCTCTCATTTCACTGCCAAAGCAGACTGCCTTATTATGCCAGCATAATAGGCCTGTCATAATCAGTTGCATATAATGGGCTAATGCTTTTATTCTCAACCATATTATTCTTTTGATAGAAAATAATGAATAATGTAAAGGCACACAGTTGTATTTGGATGAAACTATCACATAGTTTGGCTATGGCTATGCTGGGAAAATTTGAATTCTTAAAAGTGTTTGCCAATGTTTGCATTTAAGAAAAGAATATGAACAAGATTTAGACCAGGAAGTACGAGGCTACCTGCCTATGGCAAATACATTTTTGAATAGGTAAATCTGTATACAGGTAGTGTATGGAGTGTGTTTGTTCAAACTGTTTGTGTGCTTTTCAGGACAGCTTGGCTTTCCTGTTTGCATAGAGCCTAAACATTAGAGAGCTGCGAGGAATATTATGTAAGGACATCTGTGGCCTTTACTTGTCTACTTTTCTTTTGTTTTTTTAATATCAAAGTAAAAATCAAAGAAATGTTTACCAATGTATTAGAATTCTGCTGGCTGGTGTCCTAGAAGTTCATTGAAGTCAGAGCAGTGTTTTGGCATCAAATTGTATCTGAAGAGTCATAGAGCTGGGCTGGAGAGAAGAAAACTTAAGAATTAGTCAAACTATTTTTTTACTTTTATGCTTAAATTATTTGAAAGAATCAATTAAAAAACATTTTTAAAATAAGTTGACTAAGGACCTCCTTTTTGTCTCAGGCATATAATTTTGATATAAGCATGCGGCTGATTGGCTTGTTAGTTTGAATGGAAGCAAACTTTGCCTGCACGAAAATGCAGCTGCAGTGCAAAGTTACTTGTTTCCTCTGACAAAGGTGCATAAATCCACCCCCCAATGTGTAGATATGATTGTTTTCCCCCACCTCATCCTTGCAGTGTTTGAATAGACACCTCCCCTGCATTTCATTTTTAGGAGAATACTCTTTAGGAAAGCGACCCCTTTAAAGTATTTGTTGAGATAGTGGCCCTTGTGAAAGCCTTTCCTATTTGGGTCAGGCCATGCCATTTCCCCTGAGGCTGTCAGAACTGTTTCTTGGTTTCTCTGAGAGGGATGAATCTCAAAAGTAAAGCAGTCGTGTTGAAATCTTTTTCTCTTTTCACTTCTGAATACGGCTTGCTGTGTTCTTAGTTGATTGTAATAAAAGCCTTTTTTTCTTATTTTTTTAAGTTATCGAACACATTGCTTTTTTTTAAAGTTATTGAACATTTATTGCTTAGGGAAAACAGTGCTTTAAATAACTTTTTGTATATCTTGAAACTGGATATATGCATTATAAAATGCAAAGAGGCAAGTTTTTAGGAGTGATGCCTGTTTATTTACAATGGTAATACAGACAAGGACAGGCATTCAGAGAATAACCAGTCATTGATTATTCTTTGGTAATTGGATGCATGCTTGGCAGATGAGGTTCAGAGTGAGGGTGCAGGTTCTCTGTGGAGAATGCCCCTAACCACGTGTGTAAGTGATCTGCCTCTGCACAGGGACCTCGGGCACTTGGGCAGGAGGAGCTTGATGCTGATAATACAAAGCTGTTCTGCTATCCTCAGTGGTATTTTTGTATTCCTTTCTTTATCAGATGCCCTTAGGAAAGGATCAGTCCTAATCAATATTTTTTCTCAATTGGTTCAAACAGGCAGAAAAATCAATGAGCTGAACTAATGACATCTATTTTTATTTTCTTTTGGAAGACTGAGGAACAATTATAAAATTCTAAACAGATGTTTCATTTGATTGGGCCAATGGTAGAAGAGGGTTGTGGTTTTGTGTAGCTTTGGTTTTTTAATCCTTTTTTACAAATAAAAAAATGCTTACCCAAATACAGTATAGATCAAAAAACTTCTTCAGAGTGTGTTGCACAGCTTGAGATTTACTATAGCTTGAGTATCTAATCTAGTGCTTACACACTAACTTTATGTTATTGTAGAAGTCAGGCTGCTTTGAAATTCAGGGTCTGGTGAAAATGTCAAACACTGGAATACTTAGGACAAGAGCAAGAGTGGCAAATATCATGAAGTAAAGGTTGGAGGTTAAGTCTGGAAAAGACATAGACTCATACCTTTTGGAATGATTTTGTACAAATGAATTTCAGAGTTTTTACTGGTTGGTTCTTTTTATTATTTTTAAATCTTTCCCCATCTCCTAATGAGTAGAGGAACTAGGAACCCTCCCAGCCCTTTTTTTTTTTGGCAGCATCTGTATGGATCCCACTGCATTTCCAAAATCCCTGCAGTGGTCAGGGGAGATGCTGGGGTGCAGGGAGGGCTGTCTCTAGTGTGAATGGGCCGTGGTTCCTGATTGTGTTTGACAGCTGCTCTGAGCGAGCAGGGCTGCGCTCCTGACCCCCAGAGCTCCCTGCCAGCCTCAGCACTTCTGCTGCTCTGGCAGGGGGACCTTGCCTCAGCTACTTGAAATGACAACTACCACAATACTTCCTCCCTTCCCCACAGGCTATGCTAAGAAATTTTCCTTCAGTCCTGGGTATTCTTGGTCAAGAACGTCAAGTGTTAGCCTAAGTGAGAACTGGTTTCATTTCTTCTTCTGGCTAGTGTTGGTTTGGAGGAGCTGCTTTTCACAAAACATTGCCCAGGTTTCCTACACAGTGTTCACCTCTTAAACTGTAGTAAATGTTTAGAATAGGATCTTTGCTAAATTCAGATTTATACTGAGTAAGCCAGATATTCTGATGTTCATGTTTTCTGCAAAACAATAAAATCTTAACGATTTGACCAAAGCAAAAATTAGAAGACCTTGGAACAGCCCACCAGCAGATTTCCCCCTGCGTGTATTTGCTATATACTTTTGTCACCCTGTCAGAGTATCTCATTTTGATATGAGTTTCAGATTAAGAATTCTGTTTCAAAGACTGTTGTTAGAATAACACTGAAGAAGTTAAGCTGAGAGGAAGCTATTTCTATGCAGTAACATTTTTAATAAATGTTGATCTTCACACTTTTGTATAAAATACTTAACACTTTTGGGCCTTCCTTTAGTTTGTGATGTGGTGATTCTTTCACATCCCACTCTATTAAATTAAAATATAACATTTTCATGCTCAAATTAGTCATCAAACAAGAAAAGAGAAATTTCAATGGTGATACAATGAAAAAAAAAAAGCTTATTTTATATATATTCTGTAACTCTGTCTGAAGTCTTAATTTTCTGCGAATCCCAGTGCACTGCAAGGGGGAAGGCGTTTAGTACCTTACTGTGAGCTGTATGAGTGAACCTCACCTTTCACATCTCCTCACAGCAGACACATCAGTTTGGTGATCTAGTATAATGCAAAAATACATTTATTTATGAATGAGGTATTTGGGCCTCAGAAGGAAGGTGAGGAGAGGCAGGAGCAATGAGTACCTGCTGTACCCCAGGCAGGCAGCAGCACTGGAGCAGTTCCTGCCATAATCCAGCCCATGAGCAGGTTTGGTGAAACCTCCGGAACTGCGTGGGCATGAGGGCTCCTCCTGGAGAGCAGCTGATGGCACAAGGAATGTTGGCTTGGGAGCAGCCAGGCTGAAGGAGGAATTAGGTGGGGTTTTGGTATAAAAGTTACTCCAGTTAGCAGTTCCTGTCTTAGCATCAGCTGGCAATGAAATGTCAGTGCAGGTGAGTGTAAGGAAAACGTGCCCGTTGTCCTGCCAGAGGCTGCACCATGTACTGACCATGGCTGAAGAAATCCAATTGCTCATGAGGCTGCTGCTTCCACATGACCTTAAAATACTGGCAGACATTAATAGCAGTGTGCTTTAGCTGTGTGCAATGTGGAGTGGATGGTGCTCCATGAGGAAAGCTGTGTGCACCAGCCAGGAGTGAAACACAGTGAATTTTTACCACCTGCTACAAGAACATTTTCTGTACAGACAGTTCTGTGGGTTCCCTCCATGTCAGGATTTTCAGACTAAAATAAAGCTAAGCATAACCCATCACCCATGGAAAAACTATGTTGTTCTAAATCACCAACATTCGTTTCAGTATTACAGAGGAAATCCAAATAAAGTGAGGTCAAACAATATACAATGCACTTGTTAAGTGTTTAGAATGTTTTTGTTTTTACTGCATGGGAAGGGAACGAAAAGGGTAGGGTTCAGCCACCTTGTTATTTTGAAGGGTTTAAAATGTCAATTTTTCATGTTCTGTTCATTAATCTACTCTTGTTATCTCTTGTCTGCATTTGATTTTTTTTTTTTTTGGACAATTTTATTCTGTGTTTTTATGAATGTAATCTAAGTCTTGATTTCTAAGTATGTGCTAAAACTTAATGTCATGCTATAAACTCTTAGCAGTTTTTATCAATTATGTTTATATTGTGTAATAGAAGAAGTGTTATATTGCAAACTAAACAAAGGATTATGATTTTTGTTTAAAATTTAAATATGAATTAATTCTTTCAGATGTTTTCAGCTGAAATGGTTATGGCTTTCTGGAGGCTCACAGCTAAATTTGCTCTGCCTTTCTGAGTTATGCAATAGTGCATACTCTGAACATTGATTTTAAAAAGTCTACATTTTTTTGAACTCTAGAACCTTCACTAAATCCCAGTAAATTCCTCTAAATGCCAAGAGCAGTAAGTGTGGTTAATAGTTTGTCAGCCTGGCATATTAACAGCTGCATTGTAGAGTTTAATTTGACTTTTGTCTGTGTACTTTGCAGTCCAGTCTGCTTCGTTCTGACATGGGGCTTGGCAGTGCAGCTCAGCTGGCATCCTCTGCGAAGCCTGGCACACCCTACTACCCCTTCTCTGCCACCAACCAGCGCCGCCGACCGCTGCACGACTCTGCAGCTCTTGGTGAGTGATACACACACATCTCAACTTGCTTCCCAGTGCTGCTCTGCAGACTTCATTTTGGTTTTTGACAGTTCATTTAATGTACAGGAGATGGTGCTGAGCAAGTGAAATTACATCAAACTGCTATATAAGAGGAAAACTGGAATTATTAATGTTTTCTTTGGGACGTTAGCTTCGATTCAACACTGGTCAGTCTGGCTTACAAAACAAACAAGAAACTCTAATAAAACCCTTAATTGCAAAAGCAATAATGACAGATGGATAGGAGCTGATGACCAGCTGAGTGCCCTTAACCCGTGCCATCATTAACTCCTGGAAATGCCTGACCTTGAGGTCATTACCATTATTTAGTAGGGGAAGGACACAAAGGGGAAACAATTATCCTTTTATATGCTAAAAGTAACTTTATTCAGGGCAGTATATAGTTCATTGTAATTGGTTCAACATGCCTTTAAAGATCTTAGCAATTGGAGGCTAGTAGTTTATCCTAAAATCAAACTACCTTGCAAAATATGCAGGCAGGAACTTGCTTAAAATTGTTATAATCCTGTGACAGTATTAGTATTTTAATCTGGGGATAGCTGGAGGTGAATGGAATTTTCATACTTGGTTACAGACAGTGGTAATATTTTATAGCTTTCTAATTCTGTTGAATCAGAGAACCAAGAATGAGCCACCTGTTCTGTAGTATCTGCTATAAGACTATTGTGAATAATTTTCTGTGAAAATTTAAAAAAAAATCTTTTTGGTATAAAAAGAGAGACTGTAACCTTATATTCTAGTTTAC